GATCTGTGTTCCTCAGAGATCTGATAGCTCTGGAGGGAATGATGAGACAACACCAGGAGCTGAAAGCCAAAATAGATGGACGCAGCAAGACCATACAGCAGTGTGCAGATCTCGGCAAGATCCTGATTGCTGCTGGCAACCCTGCTTCAGAGGAGGTCTGACAAAAAAAAATATTCACACTGTTAATATAAGAATACATAAAAATCACACAATTACTTTATGTAGTAATGAAACCAACCTGCCTGTCGCCGCAGATAAAAGAGAAGTTGGACAGTCTTCTGACTAAGCAGAAGGATCTTGTTGAAAAATGGGACAAACACCAGGAACGGCTGCAGCGCAGTGAGTAAATAGAATACTTAATAGATGAATACTTAACAAAACACTCTGTTAAATGTTAAATGGGCCTAAACTATAAATGTTTTTCCCTTTCATGCCACTATGTGCATTTAATATATCATGAATCATGTATGAATCTTACTGTTCTTTTCTGGTTGAGCTGACATTGCAGATTCACTCTCAACACAAGTTAACCAAAAAGACTGAAATCCAAGCTGTAACATAAATGATAAAATTCCCTCATAATACATACACAAACATGTAAATAACAGATTCTACTGAGTATGCATTAAGCATGTAGTGAGTTGGTAATAGTGTGGCTGGTCTTCTGTCACTTCCAGAGCAAGAAAAATTCCAGTTTGCTCAGGAGACAGTAAAAGCAGAAGCCTGGCTAAAGGCCAAGGAGCCGCTGATCACTACCAGGCATCAAGAGGGAGGAGTAGCCCAAGCCCAAACTGATGAGGTTGAGCAGCTCATCCTTCGCCACGAGGCCTTCCGCAAGGCTGCTGTAACCTGGAAAGAACGCTTCAGCTCCCTGCGCCAGCTTTCTGCTGTAAGCTTGACTGTAGATAAATAATGAATCAGTTTGTCGGAGTCACAGTTTTTTTTTTTAAAGTGACTACGTGTTGTGTTTGCTTAGCAGGCATGGGCGCATACCATGAGTTTGCATCATCACAGGCTTTAATCTGTCTCGTGACATTAAGTGCATGTGGTGTACCCTAATCCCACTGCACCCAATCTGCCTTCCGCGCTACATTGCTTAGTGTTTTGTCTGGCATATGTTTGAAATGAACAAATCGCTAGCTTTACCTGCATTTTTTGGAACCATCGCATAAAATGTGGCATTAATCAAGTTTATGTGGTGCTATTAGTTATGTAGCTAACTCTCTCTCTAGGCTGAGAAGAAAAAAGAGGAGGAGAAAAGGACCCCACTCTCCAGCCGAAGGATGTTCCCATTATCTTGCCTGACTCCCAGTGTTCCCTCAACCAGTGCTACCTCTTCTTTCCTAAGGCAGACGGTACAGGCCCAAATTGAACCGAAGCCCTTGCAGCCCAGTTTGGATCTGGGTGCCACCTCTGCAAGCCAGAGACTGTCTTCAGCACTGGCCGGCTATAGTCCAGTTATAAATGGATCAGGCTACCACGGACTGGATCAGGGCAGCGGGAAGTTGATGGGTACTTCTTACCTTGGGATGAACCACCAGGCAGCCGGAGGTGGGAGTGACTCTGGTTTCTCAGCACTGACCTCTCAGAGTGGTGGAGTAGACACCTCCACCTATCTCGGTTTGAACCATCAAACTGCTTGTAGTGCAGAAAGCTCTGGGTACTTTGGACTAACTACTGGGAGCATGGCTGGGATGCAGAATCATCTGGGCAGTGGCAGGTTAGGAAGTTCAGGTAACCTAGCTCAGCAGCCAGGCAGTGGAGGTATGGGAAGCCCAGGCTTTCTGTCTCAGCAGAATATGGGCAGTTCTGGATATCTGGCGCATCCGCAAAACATAGGGACTTCCGGATATTTGGGACAGCAGCCAAATTTAGGGAGTTCAGGATATTTGGCACAACCGTCCAACATGGGGAGCTCTGGGTATTTGGCACAACAGCCCAATATGGGAAGTTCTGGGTTTTTGGCACAGCAGTCTAATATGGGGAGTTCTGGATACCTGGCACAGAATTATCAGAGCGCTGGCGGATTGGGTAGCTCAGGCTATCTGGCACAAAATCATTACAGCAGTGGAAGCCTGGGCAGCTCTGGATATCTGGCACAGAGTGGTGGCATCATGGACCCTAAAATGGCATATGCATGGCAGCACCTGAAAGCTGACTTCATGCAGCCTAGAATCAACCACATCCACAAGGCTGTAAACCCTCTTCTCGAAGCCAGCCGAGTGCAGCGTGAACAGTTTGGCGACATCCCGATGGCAGACATGATGGGGCCAGAGTCAGGGCTGGAGCTCCTCCATGGCCGCCTCCAGAGAGATCCCCGTGGCAGCCGCTCTGACCCTCAGATGGACCATCTGAGGAGAGAAAGGGAGTACAAGCTGGGCAGACAGACCTCCAGCGAGCAGGAAATTCAAGCGAGGCTGAATGAGCTGCCGCTGATTGTGCGGCAAGAGCGTTACCGGAGGCGCCTGGAGAGGCAGTCGTCTAGTGAACAGGAGGGGAGCGGCAAGCAGAGGCTGCAGAGGCAGGACTCGAGTGACCTGGAGGGCTCTGCTAAGGAGGGCTCTGACAAACGCTCAGGGTATGTGAATGAGTGGTTTCTTTACAGTTTGCCCAGTCAGCACAGTCCAGCATGATCGTTATCATTTGGAGGTTACGTAACGATTGTGTTTGCTGTGTGGGTGACTCATGTTTGCTGTCCATCCAGGGAGAAGAGAAATACCATGGCAGAGATTGTAGAGCAGGTCCAGGAGAGAGAGGCAGCACATGTGAGTTTACATACTGCACACTCCAGTATTGTGGTGTCACTTTAGTTTAAATTATGTCTAGATGCAATATTCTCTCTTTTGTTATTGGGTTTTTCAGGCACGAGGAGAGCCTTATCGACCTCCTAGCAGCCTCTCAGCACCCGTGACCCGCTTTGATGGACGTCCTCGCGCCCGAGACCGTCCCAAACCAAGGAGAAGGCCCCGTCCAAAAGAGCCCGAGGAGACTCGACGATCCCGCTCAGCCCCGGCAACTGGAGCCCCAACAACACCCCAGCCTCCTTCACACACTGCCCACAACGAAGGTTCCCTCTACCGGAAAAAGGCCACCAGCGCTGACCTTGAAGCTCAGCAGAGAAGCCCAAACAGGTAAAGAAGTCATGAACAAAAGACAAACACCACCTCAGTAATAACAACTGCCTCATTAAAGGTCTGATCAAAAATTTGCAAACTATGGAAAACTGTGCAAACCAGGTCAAATAGCTTATGGTTTCAGTCAGCAGGGTATTAGTTTTGTGTTTGCGAAAAGAAAGCAGGTTGTCTAGAAGCAACCTTCACGCTCACTGTCGTTACTATCTTTGACCAGAGTGAGCTGATTGTCTTCATTGAAGACTAATTTATTAAACTGACCTCAGTCGGATCCAGCTATCATGCTATCAATGCTATCAATGTTAGCATATGTCAACTTTGAAGAAACCATCGACGGTTAGCTTTCAGTCCTTGTCAGTCACACTATATATGTGATATGACACAGAGCGACAGTATAGTTAGATCTATATGTTTTTGCACAGTTAAATATTTTTGCCTCCAAAACCAGCAGAAAAGGATTTTCCAAAGATTCATTTGCATGTTTGATTCAAGTGGTTTATCTCGGTTAACGGCATATTTGATTTGGGAAAACAGAGAGCTTGACAGGTCGATTGCAAATTTTCATTGATTTTTATTAGTTATTCTAAAATTTAAATGTGTATTGTTTGAAGCAGAAATAACTGATGTGACCCAACCTATCTGCAGAAATGCATTACAAATCTGTTTGATGTCTCATTGTGATTTTCCAGCAAGTCCTGGGTGAACGTATATTGTGTGCTGAAAGATGGACAGCTGATCTTCTATAAGGATGCCAGGAACCACAACACAACATACAACGGAGAGCCTCCTGTTGACCTTAGTAGCTGCTCGTTTGATCCGTCGATGGGATACAAGAAGAAGAAAAATGTCTTCATCCTTCAGTAAGAATTATTCATATTATTATTGCAAATTTTATTGCCAGTAACTGTGATTTCAAATTGTGGTTTTATTGAGTTTATATTGAAAAGTGTAATATGTCTTTAAAGGTTATTGCCTATTAAAAGATTTTAAATTATTGATTAACCACGTGGCTATAAAATACATGCAAATGCATAAAAACTGACAAGTCCCTATTGATTTTCTGTGCAACAGAGTGAACGATGGAAACTACTTCGTGTTTCATGCAAAAGATGAGGTAAGATACATTTGTAACTTGGTATGGTCAATTAACTTACTGGTGTTAATATGTTAGAACGTAAAGACATGGGGCATTCTGATCAGTCAGTGCATTATCAAACTCATGAAAAGACCAAGATCATCAATAAATGCATTTGCTGCTCATTGTTCTGCAAAAACAATTTGGATTAAAGTAATAATCTACAGCATTGCACCGACTGGCTCCTTCCTTCATTATCTTGAACATTACCTTAAACACTGCACAGCACTGATTCCACTCAAATCTGCACAGGTCGCCCTGCTACCAGACTCAAAATATGCCAAACAAATCAACTATTTACTCCAGTTTCAATAACATTTGTTTAAAAATACACTGTCAAGCTGTTTTAGGAAATCGCTTTTCAGGTAAATACTATATAAAGTATTGGCCAGAAATTTACATACACTCACCTTGGGCATTATTGGCATGGTCATTTTGGGCTTTTAATTGTTTCAGGGTGAAACGATTATACAGCATATGTCTTTAATGACATTAAAAGGCAAAAACTGGGAGCACAAGTTTGAATTCTTGAAATTGTCAAAATAATACATATAAGCTCACTTTAAACCTTTTAATAAGTGGTGCTAAAGGCTCTTCAATGTCTTAACTTGATAGGTCAAGGCCCTGTTAACTTCTTGTTAGTGATCATGACTGGTTGGTAGTTTCTCTTTACCAGCATAAAAAGGCATCACTCACTGGATTGACCGATACTTGCAACAAAGGGAACATCCAAGGAACATGATAAATATCTAAAAATGAGGATTAAAGATTTACACAAGCATTTCTAAACAACAGCACATTCCAAGATCATCAGTTTAAACAATTGTACATAAATAGAGTAATTCAGATGTGTCACCACTGGTCTAATAGGGTTCTGACCAAAAAAGATGCCCCTGCTCCAAAATCAGCATCTTTAAACTCAACACCCGCTGACCTCAACCATCATGAAAATGTATGGACTGGGCTTAAAAGCAGGGCCAGAAAACCAACCAGTTTGAATGAATTCTACCAAACCTGACAAGAGTTGTCAAATGCCCAACCACAGTTCTGCTGGAAGCTTGTTGCTTGTTGATGGCGATCAAAACCCATCTGGTGTCACTGCAGCTTGCTAAGAGATATTTCACCAAATAGTAGCAGGGGTGTATTTGAGCCTGTATTTAGCATTCTGGATCTTCTCATCAAAGATGTTTGTCATCTGTGAACCTAGTTGTTGTTTTTAAAGTCAATGAAGATGTTTAAAAGATGTTTTAAAATCATAAAAAGTCCAACATTACCATAACATTTATACCCATGATGAGTCTATGTAAACATCTGGCCACATGTGTATGTGATATGTTACTATTGACAAGAGGGTACTGAAGATCTAGAACAATATCTAGAACAATGTTGGTTTTGGTTTGTTAATGGAACTTCACAGATAACAGAATGACGTTTCTTTAACGTGTATCCAACACATTTTCACACATTTTGATTATAATATTACCAGTTTTACCACTAAAATCACACAAGGACAGCATAGAGGAGCATGTTGAGTAAGAGAATGATATTACACAAATGCACCAGTGA